AGCATCCTGTCCACACATTCAAGAAGCAATTTAAGGCCCAGATTGTCACCATTTATAATTTCCTGCAATGCTTCTATGTTTCCCAGAACCAAAATGCTTTTTTTTTGTAGCTCAAAACCTCCCAAACCCATAACCTTCCACAATCCTTTTTTGCTGGTCCCTTTGCATTTGACTTGCAGAGGTTCAACTTAAAAAGTAGCATTTTTGTTTGCCTATTGTCATCTCAATGCAAAGAAACTATATTTTATTGACAAGATTTCAGGATGATTTCAGGGACTGACTTTTTTCAGGGTGAGGTCTGAAAATGTAATTCTAGGAGTTGTTCAAAGACTTTGTCTTGAACTGCTGGAAAACTGCAGGCAAAGAAGACTCATAAAAATTCTGAAATTTACTGAAATTACTGAAATGCACCTCTTTGCTGACCTTTTTTTTGTGCAAGAGGCTTTTGATGAATTTAGTAAAAGGTACCTGACTAGACAATTATTATATTTGATTGCTCAGGTTTTTATGTACGGGCATACAGTAATGCAGTATTTTAAAGTAGCATACTGTACTGTACTTCAAATGTATCCTTACCACCAAAGTTTAGCATCATCCTGTTAATTAATTTTCCCAGCGCAGTTTAAGTCCCAGAAGTTCCAATTCCCCCTTCTTTTCCCAGTAAAGTTGCTAGCATGCCTGATGACTAAAAAATTTTCTTTTCAGTCAATTTTTGCAGGTCCGAGGGAATACTGTAAACTTAGAAAAAGTTTGACTGTATAAACAAAGTCCTCTTCCAATTTTTTCTGAAATGACAGGAACAGCCTTGAGTTTGGTTGCTTCGTTTGGGATCACTGTGATTGCGAAGCTGCAAGAAATTTCCATGGCCAAGTATAACTTGTCACCAGCCGAAATTATTTCGCATTCCGCACTTTTTTCTGCGTTTGCCATTCTCATCGGGTTGGTCATCAGTGGGAAGCTGCTGACTTCCCTGGACATCCTCGCTTTCCAGGTAAATTAACCCTGCTAAACATTCATGTGTTTGTAACCTCCGATTTATAGAGTCGTTTCAAGATTATGTTTCGTCAGTTATGTGCCTCCCTTGGTTGGAATGATGAAAAATTGCAAACTATTTTTCACGAGAAAAAAATTTATTGATATCCTACAACTTTTTTTGCATTTTCACACTCTCGTAACCAAAAGGGATTGCCACAGAGATGAAACAGAGAGTGGAAAACAAAGTATAAAGTTTTAAACGGTCCAAGTTTTCGAATGAAAAAATAAAAAAAAATTATTTAGTGAATTAAAAGAAAAATCTGGAAACTGCGTGCCAAACAAAGAATTTCATGGATGATTTTGCAGCATTCTGTGGATTGAATAACCTTCTAATGCAACAACTTTTTCTGGAGACAAGCTTTTTTTTCTACGAAACAGAAAGAATTGGACGATACAATATTTTATAAATTTTATATCACCCCTCACTTCACAAGTATATGCTTTTCTTGTATAATAGTCATCATTTATATTGGTACAAAACTGCATAAGCCAAAATCAAGTATGAGTTGGTCTTCTTGTCCTATTTACACATCCTAAGGGTTCTAGCAGGACGTCCCCAGAAGACCCAACGGTGTTAGCCCATGACGCAGTGATCCCAGATAAAGAGTCACGACCCCAGAGTGCCCCAGCGTTAAAGCAACTGGACACGTCCGGCTTCCGAATCAATTTTTAAAGTTCTTGTCAAAGTGTTCCTGTTGGCAGAACCCCTGCTTTTTAGGTAAGATGTTCGTTGAAGAACTCAACAGGTCCCATGTGAAAAAAATGTGAACAAATTGAAACCAAAAAATTGTTGGACCTAGTAAAAGCCTTTTTGGAGTAAAGAATATTGTATTGTTGCAAAAAAATAACAGAATAACAGTGTAACTATTTCCTGAAATGCATTTTCAAAATTATTTTTTCCAGCAAAGCCTAACTAGCTCATTTGTCAACTTCAGTGATTTGATGTCAGATGAATCATCAAATGATATACAATGATGTAAATTTATATTTAAAAAAAGCATGCCAAAAGTAAGTGTTGCATTTTGGCCCAATGCACAATTTTTAGTTTCAGTCAACAATGTACAGGTGGTACCTTGCAATTTAACCTTCCTGCAATTCAGCAGTTGAATTTTCTTGGAGGTTGACTCACAATGGAATGTCTATCCCAAAATGTGACCTCTTTTAGCCCCTTTTCTAGTGTTTTTGTACTGTTTGCCCTTGATTTTATTGAGTGTCTTGCAATTTGACCATTTTAAACCCTAGTTTGGCAATGGATTAGGGTTGAATTGCAAGGTACTGCCTGTATCTTGAAGTGTGTAATTCTTTTTATTGGTAGAAATTGAAACATATTTTCAAATCCATTTATTTTCAGATACATTTGGTCACGACAATACCAAAAACAACCTGATAACTACCGTTGATTTTGTGTCTGGTGTCAAGTGTTACCTGCAGTAGTTTGATTATGTCGTTACGGAACTACGTCACAATAAGGTACGTTTTTTTATTAATGATCCATTTGAATAAATTGACTGATCATTTGCAACTACTGTATATGAGGGAATAAGAGTGATTTTCATGGAAAAAGCTTTTGGAATTGCATTCTGCCTATAAAATATTGCTTTTATCCACAGACACTGTCATTTTTTTCTCAATGTGTGGCATAATGTCTGTTTTTTCTTAAATTGTGGTACAGTATTTTGGAATGAACATCAACGGTTTTTGTCACAACTCAGTACACTATACTTCTGTAATTCATTTTATAAAAAATAATTGCAATCTTTGATTCTCAGTATTTACTGCATAAAAATCAATTTTCAGAAGCATTGATTTTTCTCAATTCATGGATACAAAATGATTCCCCTGTTGGTTTTATGTAGAATTCATTAACTTTATCTCAATTTTCCTTTCCTTTGAAGGGAGTAAAATCACAGCAAAATGTCACTTTGCAGAACATCCTAATTTATTTAATATAAAATGCATCTTGCAGTTACATGTTTATTTTGATAGCTTACTTTGAGCCCAACACATTTCTTACTTGGAGAGTTATGTTGGAAAATTTTGCTTACTTGCTGGATAATGTTCTGAAGTATTGTATAAGTATATGGCTGGGAAAGAGTTGGATTTATAAGAGAAAACTTTCAACTTTTTATAGTAGTCTTATTAAACCAAATTTGTTCCATAACAATTCTTTGCATTTATTAACATCTTTCAAAAAATACATGCATAATAATGCACAAAATAGTTGACAGCAACACAGTAAAACTTTGTCACAGCAAAGCCTTAAGGAGCAGGGAAAAAAGTGCTGCAACCAAAAATTGTGGGATGACAAGATTTAAAGAATATTTTGCCTGCTGGACAGGAATCTAAAAAATGAATTTGTTATAAGTAATGTGTAATTCATTCATATGAGATTCATTGTAGCATTATTCAACTTATTTAATTGAATTTACATTACTAATCGGTGGAGTGGCTAATTAAGCCATTGTCTGGATTTCTCATCCAACCATGCAAGCAATCATGCTATGCAAGGATTTACGAAACAGGGTCTTCCTTGCACCACCTCCTGCAGCAGAGATGGAACATGGAAGACAGTTTGATGCGGAGGCAGCTCACATGTCCTTCGTTGAAGCAAGCAAAACGAACTCCTTGCGCAGGGAAGCTGGCGACCCTGTTCCCTGTCTTGAGTCTGCGACATGGGGTAACTCCGAAGAAGAGGCGACGCATGTGAAGGACCTCTCTCTAATTTTCCATACACTCGCAGCTTTCATCAATGAATGGTGTCTCATTTCGGAGATTTTTTAAATCAATTATTATGCTTATATATATAGATCAACATTCTTACGAATATTTTAGGCATTTTGTAATTTTAGAATTGCAGTATAAGCATTGAGTCTTATTAATTGCAATGAAATAATCATGACTGATTGAGGATGTAATTGCTGAGCTAGTGAGCTGACTAACAAATTGATATGAAAAAACTTGATAATTCTTTTGAGTTTAACCCTGTGGTGATTATGCTTCATAAAAAGTACAGTTGAATCTCTCTAAAAGTCTAATTTCTTGGGGCTAGGAAAAATTCAACTTAGGGAGGTTTTGACTTGGAGAGATTTTGATTTTTGGAGGTTCCCAGTTAAAGAAACAAACACCTTTCTTGCAAGGAGCAGTGAAAAAATTGCAGTACATTGTAAATGAGGATATTCTGGGTCTAAACTTGCTCTTTTATTGAGTTTATACCTTGCTGAACTTGGAGGCAGGGGTTCATTTGCTCTACTAGTCTTCCACTTCCTTTCAAGATGCATCAAATAATTTGGTTTATTGATTTTCTCTGTCTTATTTCAAAAGGCCGCAGAAAATTTGACTTATCAAGGTTTTAGAGAAAAAGAATTCAAGTTAGGGAGGTTTTTAATGCATCAATACTAAAGGAATTCAGACAGGGACATGAAAAAAATTTGGCTTAGAGAGGTAATTGACTTGAGGAGGTTTGACTCATTGAGGTTCAACTGTATTATGCCCACCAGGACCTCAATGACCAATTAAATCTTGATGCGTGATATGTGGGAGTGGGATGAAATGGTCCAGGCCCATCAATTATGGGTGGATGATGAACCTGTCCCGCAAGCATTAATAATAACTTCTTTACCATTGTGTATCCATGCATGATCCAGGGACAATACCATGCATCATTTATTCAGCAGCCAATGAACACTTGAGGACAATTTTGAGGATGAACGGATGTTCCATTTTTTACTTGAAAAAATAAATAAGTTATAGACTAGCTTCAGACAGCATCTTATATTTTAAATAAATTATTGTTGCTTGCATAAATATATTTTGCTTGCATGCTGGACAATATTCTGAAGTATTTATAAGTGTATATGGCTGGGAAAGAGTTGGATATTTACAAGAGAAAACTTTCAACTTTTTATAGTAGTCTTATTAAACCAAATTTGTTCAATAACAATTCTTTGCATTTATTAACATCTTTATCCATCTGTATCCATTATTGTTCCTCAGCCTTCTCATAGATCTGGACAGGTGCAGGAACTTTTCCACATAAATTGGGGCTATTTCAACGACTATAAATAACAGCATGTAAAAAGAAAAAAAAACCTGAAAGTGGTTTTCTTTTCAGCTGATCTCTTCGAATTGGGTTTGTATGCGTCTTTCCAAGTGGGCACTCTCTTTTTCTGAGCGCCCCGGTGAGAGTTATGCGGATATAAGAAGTGAAGCATTTTGATGGGGTGCCCTGTCCTTCTGCTAGCCGCCTAAAGCCGTTCACCATCCGCCGGCTCAACCGAGTCGGACAGTGGATCACCGCCGTGTCTCCGGGAAGGAGTCGCCGTGCGAAGGTACAGTGAACTTTTCATTTTACGTTTCCATTAGTGCGTTTGTGTCTGCGTGGTTTTTTCAAACTGCTGCAGTTTTATGGAATTCATCTTACAACGATGGACTCAGCAGAGCGCGTGCAGTACAGTTCTGATCAACGCTGTTTCAGGGCAGTGTTCGTTGCTTCTTGCGTCAATGGTCGAATGACGAGCACGGAAACTTTCCTAAACCGCGAATTGTTCGTGTGAACTGTGGACTGGTGAAGCTGCGGAGGGCGGACTCGTGCAATGCCCGTGCGTGAAATTCAAAGCGTTCTTCTTTTCAGGTTTCTTCGATTTGTGTTACGATATTATTTATCCTGATGACCGAAGGAAAGACCAGTGAATTTTCACCCTTGTTGGGTGATCAGGAAAAGTTACATGCGACCACCGATCCCGCGAATATTCATGGTGATGCATCGTCTTACAAAGCCATTATCACAGATGCCTCTCCGCCCAATAAAGCCAGCATAAGCGCGTGCTGTTGTTGCACTTCTTCCTGCAAGAGATTCCTACAGCTCCTGCTTTCTTTATTTCTGTGAGTACAGATGTACGGAACATTATAAAAGATCTTTCACATTCTTTTGGTTTAGCAACTGAAAAAAAAGGAATGATTAATCCATTTTTTGAATAACAGCAGTTTTGTTGAGGCAATTTCGGAAGAACGAACGAAAACGAGAAAAATACGCTCCTTCCTAGGGGGTTTCACATCGCTGTGGAACGGATAAATGGGATACCAGTTTCTCGCATTTGTGCATTTGCATTGGAGTTTACCTCACAGCTCTTGTTCTCCAGGGCTGTTTTTATGGATTAGTGGGGTGCAGTAATGTAACCGCAGCAAATCCATGATACCTTCCACAGTGTGCACACATTCCCAGAATTCACAAGAAAAGGCAGGAGTGAGAGAAAAAAGTTGATAAGTGGGATATTTCACTGCTCCCAGTGCTCCCACCTACTACAGTAATGCATTCTTTCTCTCTGGACCCTGGTGGGATTCTAAGATATTGCTTTGTCCATCCAGGCGAGATTTTCCCTGCTCATCCTCCAATGAATGTTTAGTGAGCTGATTAAGTGATTCATTAACTGATTAGGTGGCAATATTTCCTGTGTCCTGGGTTTTTGTATGCATGTGCATTGATGCTTTTTGTATGCATGTGCATTGATGCTTTTTGTGTTTCCTGTTGGTTTTTGCAGGACAGGATTTTATGGGCTTATTTTTTCCTGTCGGTTTTTATCTTGGATTTTTTTCAGATACATGTACGCTGATGAGGGTTGTCCTAATTTCAAGGAAATTTTTGGGGGTTCTGGAGGCAGCAGCTTAACAGGAAGAGTCATGTGACAACATTTTTTTGTGAAAGTTTTCATTCAAACAGTAGTTCTTGTGACCATTTGATGACACTTGGAACTATAAAACGAAAAACCATTTTAAAGAGAATTGAATAAGCTTTCATATGGTGTTTTTCATTGTAGCTTAACTTTCAAGTTTTAACATAGATATCCTAATCCAAAAATCGGTTCACTTTTTTTTGGCCCACCCTGTATGCTGCATGTATTCCGCAGGAATGTGATTGAACATATGCGACAATAAATGGAATGAATTGCATCAATAGTTTAATGATAAAAATGCTTACTAATCTGGAAAGCTGCGGATGAACGTTTTTTCATGTGTATGGAAATGTGCTTACTTGTCAATTAATAGTTGATAATTTCATAATTAAAATTATATGAGGGTTCCTTTCAGGTGTTGTAAAGTAAATTAATTGAGAATGGTACGGTAGCATTTGCTGCGGCACAGGACTATAGATTTCTTCGGGTAGATGTCACTTGCATCGCTATCCAACTGACGATTGACCGCGTATATGACTTCCTATTCCTAAGCTTACAATAATTCGCTACATCGGAAGTCCAGAGTACTGTACAGACCGAACAGTGAAAAATAATGAGTAGACGGATTCCATGAATTTTGGAAGTGAAATCAAGACGGTTTTGATGGTGCGATTGGAAATACTGTAAAAAGATTCTCTGAAATGTCGCCATCAGCAACAGCGATGAGACGAAACATTTTAACGCGTCATGCTGGAACTGCTGTACAGTTGGCACTAATGTGCGTACTGTATGTACCTGTATGAATCATCGCGGAAGACCTGAGGTAGAAAACTGCGTCTTATGGAAAACTGTTGATCTAAAGTTGAGCATTGTTCACTTTTTCGAGAAGAACCATCGTTGATAGAATGTCGCTGATTCAGCAAGGCAACCAAGTGTACCAGCGTGCATTCCGACGCATTGACTTATTGTTGTTTCATTTTGTTGTAATGTATTCCGGTGCCCAAAATGCTGTGGGGAAACAGGTGTCAGAAATTAAATCCCGTCTCAGTACAGAAATGAATGATTAGCCTCGTACATCTTGTTCCGCGTTCTATACAGTATAAAGTACTGTAATGGGATTCTCACGCGCTAAAAGCGAAAGTTTTCTGAAAAACCTTCGACGTTTTGAAGAAGTTTTCAAATAATTTTTGAAACGTTGACTCATGGTTCCACTGGTTCACTTGTACGTAGAAAAAATATTACTAAGCGTTTTTCTGATTTTTCAGAGGCTCCGTGATTTTCGCCGTCGTCGTCTTCATCTTGGTGTACTTCCGTGATCAAAGCAACGCTCCGCCGTTCGATCCAAATGCGAACGGCACTGCCGCCAACCTCACTTACCCAGGAACTGAAATCTGAAAAGAAATGAGCTATGGTCAGGCATTTCAACTATCTATAAGAGCTTCAGCAGTGGAATAAAAGACATCTTAGTGCCAGCGCGACAAGAGATCAATTCTTTTTTCAAAATCAAGCGCAGATTTGATTTTATCTGTGAAATTCGTTTGTGGATAGCGCTCGGTTCATATTTAGTCTCGCGTCGCAATAACTCTGTGATTGATCGGAGAACTGGCGAACCCGACCCGGTTTTATTTTACCCTTCTTAATTTTTTGGTCTGTGTTGAATCATTAATTGTTTTTTGTTCGTTATATTCGCGTGTTGCGTGAGTGTTCGCTTTATTTGAATGTCCTACCGTTCGTGTTCCACGCAGTGATACTTTCTCGCTTCAATTTTCAGCATTATACAATTAATTTTTTGTCCCTTCGGAACACAATGGCGGGTGCTTTTTCTTGGTTATATGTCCTATAATGACCTCGTGATCGCAAAATTTTAAATTAAATTTGAAGTGATTGGATCGAGGTCCAAAAGTTAACCGAGGCCACGGAAAGTTGCAATTTGAGGAGAAAAATCTTTCATTCCTTTTCAGGAATCTTGTAAATATTGAAGACTGATTTTCGAGTATGACTCGGAAAAGATTTGGACTTCATGTACCGAGATCAAGATTCGGGACGTTCTGCGAAATGTTGTGTTTGAATGGAACTAATCCGCCGGGTTTGATGGAGCTTCCGAAGTTTCACGAGGGGATTGGTTTTTAAAAATTGGCATACAATGTATTGTTTACGTGAAAATTGGCTTAACATATTTCTGAAAGACTTGTGTGTTGTATGTGCGAAAGTTTGAGAAAGAACGATTTCTGCTCCGAACTGTCGTTTTTTATATTGATGCTTTTTTCCGTTTCCTGAAGGCGTAAATTATTTCTTTTTTCTCTGAGTGAAGTGGAAAATTTTATTCCCGAGAATACGTTTAAAAATAGACATATATTGAATTTTTTTAAATTAGCTGAAATATCATTTTTATGAAATGTTTCTGCCTTTCTACATTCAAATTCAATGCCGAAAAAACAAATGATTGTGGACATTGTTTTCTGACTCCCTCTCAAGGGGTGTTTAATTCGTTTTGTGAGTACTGTACGTCTTCCAATATGCGTACGTGTGTGACTCGGAATTTGTTCGAAATCCCGCGTACCGAATCCAGAGAGGAAGCAAAAATAACTCGTGTTTATCATTTTACCCGCGTACTTCAAATTTTCTGGAACTTTTCACATACAGATTCGATGCCGCACCGTCGCATCAAAAGAGATAAACCTTGATCGGCCCGAATACCATATGAACACGCACCAATTTGTCGCGCAAACACTCAGTCACACAATAGACCTACAGTATTTTCCGATAAGTTTACGACGCGAATAACGAAGTCCAACATAAGACACAAAGAAAAACTTTTCAACAACAAGAAAGAATTCCACGTCATTCTTCGGCTGAGAGAAAGCGAATCTTTTATCAACCTCGCACTCATCGGAGATTTCAATTATCTGCCCTGATGGGTACGACCCCACGTTGAGCTCGTTAACCTCTATAAATATTCGAGTGGGATTTTCAGTCGTAGATTTCCGTGCGTTCGGAACAAGAAAGTGAAAGTTTCGTGAGAATAAAGGAGTCATAGTTTTGTTTTTGAGATGGGGGTCGCAACCGTGATTTTGAGTTCGTTGTTCTTGGTTGGATTCCTTGACGCGGCTCAGCCTCGGATGGATCAACTCGTTTCAAGTGAGACAAGAAAACGTATCAATTTGAATAAATTTCGATTTTTTAAAACTCAGAATTGATGTGAATCAAAATGTTAGTGGACAGGTGCAGGGTTATAGGGTTAGCAAATGCGGAGTCGGATCCTTGTATAGAAAGTTCTAGACAATTCAAAGTACCCACTCGCTGCCAAGATGAATAATTAATAGTTCGATTGTGACCAGGTTCCAACTTTGAATTCTAGCTTTCCGTGTCCAATTTAGAAGATTAAAAGGTAAGTCAAGTCACGAGTTTTCTTCAGAAAATTTGCTCTGAAAAGAACGTATAATGTCTAAAATGTTTGATGAAAGGTTAAGCGAGTGTTTTCAACTTCCGCGCATAATTTTAATTTGCCTACACGTATTTCAAGTGAAATATTGCCCTAAAATATATATCCACATCATAACATTAACAAGCAACATAAACATGATTCGCATAAAAAATTCTGCAAAACTATTTGTCTTGCCGAAACAAAGAAGTGTTCCAGGAAAAAAAATCTCTCTCCAATGTTTTCATTGAAGTAATCGGTGATTTTTCTATTGAGTACCTTTTCTATTTTCAGCGAGCATGGAATATTTATTCAGAATTTAGGATGACGACTTGTGAGCCACAATTAATGAATTGTAGAATTTGGAAGGAAAAAATTAATACAATGAATGTGTTCTGATGCATTCCATAAAATCTGCTACCATCACAAGAATTTTCATGGCATTACGCTTGCAATGATTCTGCCGCGGAATTCAGAATACGTTTTTATGAAATATACTTCGTTAAAACGGACTTTTATAGCATAATTTGCTCTTTAATTTATGTGGAGGAAAACAGAAAGGTCACACGATCAGCTTTCAGTACCATAGAAGGATTTTAAAAATTACCGAAAATTCTCTGGGATGAACTGTAGACGATTTTGTTTAAATTTGGGAACATTTTTTGGAAATATATTGTACCTGGCGTTTGATTTTTATTTTTCTTCCATCATCCAAAGCATCAAAAGTGGGTCCTGGTATCATCAACATGTGGAAAGCAAACCATTCATGCAAATTATTCATCTTATGATTTTACTACAGCACTCATTTGAAAATGTAATAGACTGTAGTATCACAGTGAGATCCCCACATGTGGTCACCTTGACATGTGGACAGTTTGACATGGGGACACTTATTTTCTCATGAAAAATTAATAAAAAAGGCCCAACATGAGGGCACTGACTCAACATAGGGACATTTTGTGATAAAAATGCAAATAAGTTTGAGGCCAAATTACAAGAAACAGATAGTTCCAACCCTAAAATTTATGTATGTAAAGTTCTTGGGCATTTCTCTCACCAATTTACCAGACATTTAGCTAATTTAAAAAATTACCTCTAATACAGAGAGACTTCCCTCTCTCTTTTTCACTTGAATGTTATTTTTACAGAGAATGCCAACATTTCTATGTACTGTACAGAGTATTCAATTCCCCAAATGCCCATATTGTGTTGAAATATATTGATTGAATCAGTTTAAATTGGGAGACAATTTTTGTTTTCATGGAATTATGGTGAGTATTTTGTCCATGAAACACAAATTAAAAATTATATAATGTAAGTCTAAGGAAAAATGAGACGTCAACTTAGGGACACTCTTGAATCTTGATGCACCAATTATGTCCGCATCTTGGGGTCCTCTGTATTTCAATAAAAATTACTCTTGAAAATTGAACGGCACATGCGGAAAACATCAGACTCCCCGCAGGTTATTTTCTACTGCTGCTGCTGCAATAACCCGGGAATTATTAAATTGGCGGGCAAAAAATGTTCTTTGCGCAGATAACCTTGCCGTGAAGGAAGCTGAGCAACCCAAGGCAGATGAAGTTTTGGCTAGAAGAGTCTGTTATTTTTCAAACTGGGCAGTTTACCGACCTGGACCCGGGTCATATGACGTTGAAGACGTCCCCGTTGACCTGTGCACACACGTCATTTACTCGTTCGTCGGACTCAGCAACGTGACCTGGGAAATCACCATTCTAGATCCTCAGGTCTGCCAAAAAAAGAAGAAAGAAATATTATCCTGCACTGAGAGATCGACTTTTATTTTCATTTTCTTGGGTCTGATTATGATTACTATTTCAGCATGATCTTGGATCAAACGGAGGCTTCCAAAGATTCCTGCGTTTGAAGGATCAAAACCCTTCTGTGAAACTGAGTGTTGCCATCGGGGGTTGGGGAGAAGGTGGGAAAAAGTACTCGGAAATGGTTTCTTTGCCTGAGCGAAGAGCAGCGACTACTGCCAGCATAGTTAGTAAGTCAAAACGACATTTTCCGGAGAAAACTCACAATCGAAAACGTGGAAAAAATATCAAAAAATAAATAAAATCATAACTGAATAAATTTAGCATGAAAGCTGCGAAGAACAGCTTTCCAGTCGTATGCTGCTGGCCAGAAAAAAAATCTGTAAATTTTGTATTTTTCAGGATTCATGCATGAATATAATTGGGATGGGTTTGACCTGGACTGGGAGTACCCTGGAGCCTATGACCGAGGGGGTAACTACATGGACAGAGACAGATTCTTGGATTGGGTCCGAGAACTAAAAGCAGCTTTTTATGCTGCTGGCAAAGGATGGGAAATCACAGTTGCAGTTCCAGTTGCCAGATTCAGACTCAATGAAGGATACCATGTTCCAGAGCTGTGCCAGTAAGGAAAAAGCAGAAATCTCCTATTTACATAAAAACCTACAAGTCAAATTAACTCCTCATATAGGTACCCATAATAATTGAACTTGGAGTTTTTGAACCAGGTAAGCCAGCATTATATTGTTGAAAAAAATGAAGAATTACAAGAAGATAAAAATTGGTGACCTTCTGGACTACCTTACGCTACTGGGTGAATTAATTGACAGGATGCTAAACTTTGAAATACATCAAGTAACAATTCATAGCTTTTCTGTTTTTATTACCTGGCACCAGAAAGGCCTCCAGAAAATTCAAAGTTTTGAATGTTTCAGGCGGAAATATTTGAGTTACGGAGATCTGTTATACACTGTTCTTTAAGATAGTTTGAACAAGAATTAAACAATATATTAGCATATAGGGAGGTTTTCCACCTCTAGTGACGTTTGATTTAGCAAGGTACCCTCTTTGCCAAATAAAGTCAGTGTACAAAGTTCCCTGTCATAGTAGAACCTTCGGATTTTTCACGGATAATAATTTTCCGAGATCATTAGTTGTGATCCAAAAAAAATCAGTATAGCAGTGCGTCTTCAAGTGTTCAAAACATGCGAGCTTTGAATTTTTCAAGTACTGTACTACACTACTTGAAAATATTACCGTATGCCATCCATGCATTAAAAAAAAAAGAGTAATTGAATAACTAGAGTCTAGTACAGGTGTTATCTTGCAATTTGACCCTAATCTGTTGCCAAACTAGGGTTGAATTGTAAATTGGTCAAATTGTGAGACACTTTATGAAATTCAAAAATTCAAATACAAAAACGCAAAATAATGGTCAAATTGCAAGTCAAACTCCCAGAAAATTTGACCATCAAGTTGTGGGATGGTCAAATTGTGGAAAGTCAAATTTCAAGGTACCACCCTGTATATATTATTCTACTTTTTATTAAATAAAACCAGTGCCTTTTATTGCGCAAAATATAGTCATCAAATTGGTGCAACTAAAAACAGGTGCACATGGTGTATATACAGTACATGTAAATTTGGTAAACTCTCAGTACAGTGGCCCCCTGCCTAACAGACCTCCCGCATTAGGGATTTTGGCCTAACAAACCAGCTCTGTAGGCAGTTTTTCTTCCTGTCCAATGGACAAAATCTGCCAAACAGACTTCTGTTGGTTTAAAATCAGTCTTGACAATTGAAAGTTTTACTGTTTTATATAATTGAAAGCATCTAAAGGACTTTTTGTCCAACAGACTTGTCCATTGCACAAATTGAGTCTGTTAGATGGGGGTTGACTGTATTCAACAGTTTCCAAGGGCAATTGTGAAAGCTGTTCATTGCTTTTACAATTATATTTCTTGAATTAAAGTACAGCAGTAATTAGATCTCAAGTAACCAAGACTATAAATTTAGAACAATTTGCTATACCTTTGCACAAGATTGACTCATTTCCTCAGAGGGCAGAGGAAGCCGATCCCCATGCCCAATAAATGATGAAATTCAACCTTTTAATTTACAATAAAAAAAGGCTTTTCAACGCCATCCATCTCATGACGTACGACTTGCGAGGCAATTGGGTTGGTTACGCAGACGTTCATAGTCCACTGTACAAACGACCAGAACTGGATCAATGGGCCTACGAATTCCTCAACGTGGTGAGTATATATAGAAAAAGACAAAAAAATAAATAATTAGTGTATTGAAGAATAAATTTTGTGCAAAAAATCTGTTGTATGATTTTTAAATTTGCTTAAAGACCGCCCGTATAATCATCAGAAAATAAACTAAAAAAAACTGTCTCTGCTGGGAAAAAGAAAAAGTTACCGACGTGGCAAATTTTTTTGCTTGATGAATTTTTCTGCTGATGATGAAAAAAGCAATTTACTCGCATAAACACTTTTTCCATCGAGAACTTCTTTTCTTTATAGATATTTATATTTTTACGCAATATCTATTTATTCAAAAAAATGCAATAAACGTCGAGTTTTCGCCATACAGTACTGCATTTAAGTCAAAGGATTTCTCTTTATTTCATCAGAAGTACAGTACTTGAATTATTTGTTTTAGAAGCATTTTAAAGCATGTATTCCCCATTTCCTATGAAATTCCAGTCTGAACTGTGCTAAAAATCATTAATCTCAATATAACGAATTTTTAATTATAACAATTTTTTCTTGGGTCCCTGGGAGTTCGTTGTAACGATATTTTACTGTATATGAACGGTGGCGGCTGTTTATTCGTGGGGCTGAACTTATTTTTAATCATTTTTGTGTTTGGAAATCTTCATCACAGAATGACGGTGCGGCATTGTGGGTGGAATTCGGGTGTCCAGTGGAAAAAATAATTATCGGAGTGCCTTTCTACGGTCGTACTTACAAGCTGGGCAGTGCTGACAATCACGAACTCGGAGCCCCCGTGATCAAGTGGGAAAATGGTGGGGAACCCGGGCCGTTCACTCGTGCCCGAGGCTTCATGTCATATTACGAGGTAGATATAGTACCGTACTTATTACTGTACATTTTTATTTCGTGAATTCTCTTTTCAATTAAAACGTCTTCACGTGTGGAAATTCCTCGAAGCTATATACTCTCGTCTGTTTCCCTTCGTCATGCTTTTGACAGATCTGCTCGGCTATGAAAACAGACGGCGACTGGCCGGACCGATGGGATGACGTCGGTCTGGTTCCATTCACTTACAAAGGTAAACAGCAACAAAAATGAGAAAAACGAAATTCAAGAAAAGTGAAGGTTCCTCAGGAGTCTATAACAATAATTGCATGTACCACAGTCCAGATTAAAAATGTTTATGAAACAAAAATCAGAACAGAAAAATAGAGTGCCTACAGTATACAGTGAGACCCCTCACATGCGGACACCTTGACATGGGGACAATTCGACATAGGGACATTTATTTTTCAATAATAAGATCATAAAAAGGCCCAACATATGGACACTGACTCAACATAGGGACATTTTTTGATATAATTGCAAAAACATTTCAGGCCAAATTACAAAAAACTGACATTTCCAACCCTAAAATTGATGTAGGAAAAGTTCTTGGGAATTTATCTCACCACTTTACCAGACATTTAGCTAATTTTTAAAAAATTACCTCCAGCATAGAGGGACTTCCTTTGCTCTTTTTCACTTGAATGTTATTTTTACAGAAAATGCAAACATTTCTATGTACTGCAGAGAAGTATCGGTATTCAATTCCCCAAATGTGCATATTTTGTTAAAATATATTGATTGAATCAGTTTAAATTGGGAGGCAATTTTTATTTTCATGGAATTATGGTGAATATTTTGTCCATAAAACACAATTAAAAATTATCTAACTTATGTCTAAGGGAAAATGAGACTTAACTTAGGGACACTCTTGATGCACCAATTATGTCTGCATCTTGGGGTCTCACTGTACAGTATCAACATGAGGACATTGCATCAAAAAATTGTCAATAAATTTTAGAAAAATTGACTATTGTTAGGCTTAATTGCAAGAAAAAGATATTTCCAACCATAAGATCTACAAAGGAAAAATTCTTTGGTACTTTTCCCATCACTTGCCCAACCATTCAGCTAATTTAAAAATACCTAAAGCACAGAGGGACTTCCTTCTCTCTTTGTGACATGAATGTTATTTTTACAGATGCCAACATTTCAATGAACTGTACATCAGTTTACTATTCAATGCTCCAAATGTTCTTATTGGCTTGAAAATATATTCACTGAATCAAATTCAAGTGGCAAACAATTTTTTTTTCATGGAATTCTGAAGAATATTTCTTTCATAAAACACCAATTAATAATTATATAATGTAAGTCAATGGGAAAAAAGACTCAACTTAGGGACAATTCAACTTAGTGGTGCACTTGGTTGTGATTTAATGGTGTTCTTGATGCACCAATTACGTTACAACAAACTATTGACCTTTACTTTGACATGGAATGAATGAATGCAAGTTTTGCGAAATTTAAAATTATTCAGATTTAAAAAAAAAGGTACACTTAATTTTTGCTCAATTGTTGCACGAAATCAGTTACCTTGTAGCGTAAACACGCTACGAATGCACTTGAACAACACTTCGATCAGGTTTCAATTGTTCACACGAATTTTTCTTTCGTTTTTCTTTCCCACAATTCAACTTTTTTTCATTTCTTAAATTAATAACAGAGAAGTTCTGGACTGGCTACGAAAACACGCGCAGTGTGGGTATCAAAATGGACTGGATCAAGCAGCAAGGATACGGAGGTGGGATGACTTGGGCCATCGACATGGACGACTTTAGAAATATGTGTGGGGAAGGGAAGAACCCATTGATGACAGTCATGTATGAGAAATTGAAGGACTACTATGTTCCGGTTGGAGCGACACTTCCGCCCCCGACGACCACCACTACGGTACATCTTCTGCTTAATTTCCTCCATTTTAGAAAAACGGATGCACAGTATCCGTATTCACGTCATTAAAAACCAATTAAAATTATTTAATTGCTATCACGACTTTTTCGAAAGTCCCGGCTCACTCAAAAACATCCTGCTTATACTGTATAGGCGTAATGCTATAAAATATCATGAGATTCATGACCAACTTTCCTGGTGATTCAAAGCGACAAATTGATGCTTTTGGTGCAGGGGTTTCCATCGTTTCCTCCCTCGTGATTAGTATTTTTTAAATTATTTAAAGAATAAACTCCTTATTTCAGAAATAACTGAAATTTTGTTAGCAAATCTTGATTCAAGACATTTTTATAACAATTGTCCCTCACGATTAGCAGAGTTTTTATTGCGCTGGGGAACTTCGTAATTTTGCTTGATAATTATTATCCGATATGAACAAAGAGAAACTCAGATTTTAAGGAACTATAGTCTTTTATTTTATAAAAATTTGAATTTTCGATTTTTATCACATAATACAGTACATACAAAAGTTTTTACATTGCCCTTTTGTAATTGTTGGAGACGTCGTCAGTTTAGAAACGTTAGCCATATCAATGATATAATGTTACCTGTAAATATTTACTCCAGCAAATTTATAAGATGCAATTTATCAGTGAAATCTACTCTTGGGTTTTGGAAATTACAATAATCGGATATTTTCAATAAAATGTAAGACTTAGATGACCGTATTTATATGTTTTAAAGCTTGTATGGTTGGTCATAAGTGATCGTTTTTACGCTCCGATTTCGAATGAAAAACGTTGCCAAATTTTAATCGCGATCATTTTTCTGCCAATTTGTGCGAAAAAAGTGCGACTGTCAGCAGAACTATAATTAGCAACAAACATATTTACTTGAATGTGAGATCTTTTTGCAGATCCTTGCATCCTTATTTTGTTTTGCAATTTTCTTTTTTGTCGTGTGCGTCTGGCGTTAAAACAATGAGCAACATATAATTTATAGCATGAGCAAATATATAAATTATATATTTCCAAAAATTATAAGGCTTGCCATGATCTTTCGGGGTAATTTTTACAACAGAAAAAACGCTTCATATTATATATGGGCTATTTATGAGAATTTATTTTCCATCAGCTGAGGACAACTACCACCACCAGGGATCCATCTTGGACACCAGGACCGACGTCACCACCAGGGACTTGCGACTGCACAGTTAATGAGTACTGTCCGTCTGAAAATTGCCAGCAGGTGAGTGATGGGTCATGCATAGTGTTGTTTATTTGTTAAATTTTGTTTTGGGAAATTAAATACAGGGGGTACCTCACAATTTGAACTCCTGCATTTCAATGGTCAAATTTGCTGGGAGGTCAACTTGCACTTTGACCCAGGCCCGACAATTTGACCCACAGAGATGGGCAAAAATGCCAAATACCTGTATAATGTAGAAAACATTGCATTTGACGTTGCTTTGCAATTTGACCTCTTTGCAATTCAACCCTAGTCCAGCAATGGATTAGGGTCAAATTGCAGGGCACCACCTGTACTGTATATATAGGATATACTGTACAATATATGTATACTATACATACCTACAGTACTGTAAACACAAAAATGTAGGCCCTCATACACAGCAGCGGCGGTTGTCTGCAATAACCTATGGTTCACAGATGGGTGCCATGTCTACAGGGCATTTTCTTTGGCACACTAAATTAATCAAAAGTAGTAATGAAGTCTATTATTGTCATCTGAAATTTCTGAAAGGCAATTGCAGTTGAAATTATTTGATGAAACATAGTAATTGGCTTCTCTCCTAATAACATTTGAGAAAAATTTTCACCTGCTGAAATAAATTACAGTACTTTGATTTTTCATTCTGAAAAACTTTTCTTCAAGCCCAATTTTCCATTTTTTAAAGACATTCCACTTTAGCCGCGTCATTGGTTTGTAACTTGATTTTTTTTCAATAAAAATTATGGCTGGGGGACTTAATGGGATGTATTTCAAATTTTCTGCTGATTCCCAAAAATGTTATGGTACTTTGCCAGTCCAAAAAAAAAATGCATGGAAATTTGCTGGTTTGCGGGCCCAGAAGAGTTTGGGGAATATTGCTGTAGTTAGAGCTTATATATGACCTTGTAGGGGCATCTTTAATTTTCTGACGCTATAGTAGTGTACAGTCAACCCCCGTCTAACGGACTTGAATTGTGCAAGGGACGAGTCTGTTAGACAAAAAGTCCTTTACACGAATTCAATGACTTGAAAATTGAAAGTTTCAATTTTCAACACTAAATTTAAACCAAAAGAAGTCTGTTTGGTGGATTTTGTCTGTTGGGCAGGAGTAAAAACTGCTTGCACAGCTGGTCTGTTTGGCGAAAATCCCTTACACGGGGGGCCACTGTATATTAAATCATGTGCATCATTCCAGCATGCATTGCACCATATATAGGATGAGCGCATTATTTCCAATGCAATTTCAATTGATTCCTCTATGAATTCCCACAGTATTATTGGTGTGTGCTGGGAGAACCGGAGCTTCAGGCTTGCGCAGCCGGATTAGTGTGGTGGCAGGAACAGAAGCGTTGCGACTGGCCTCACAACGTACCAGCAGGACATCCCTGTTCTTCTCAAACCGCTACTCGGCACCGGCCGAATGGAGTAGCCAATAAGCCACCGACATCGGGTCATGATGATGATGCAAAGGTGCCCACCAAACATGTTGCTACGATGTACATTAAACACGATCCCAAGGTGCCCATCAAACATGATGCGACGATGTACATCAAGCAGGATGTCAATAAGGTGCCCATCAAACATGGTGCGAAGGTGAACATCAACGGCAAAAGGGAGAAAGTTGCGCGGAAAACTCCAGTTAAGCCCAGCACGAACGATGCTGAGCGACGACGCATGGAAAGATTTGTGAAATGAGTCGTGTGCCGAGTTAATCCATGAAGAAGTTTTTTTTTCAATAAACGAAAAAACATTATGTTTGAATCGCGGACATAATTTTTTTTTAGTTCAATGAGTTAATCATTCAGCGAACTCTCTGATGGAGGTAATCGGCAATAATATACGAGACATGTAGCAAAGATGATGACGAAGGCGCGGGATTCAATATCGCAAAATAGTCAGTCAACGCCTCAACGGTCGTCCATATGGTGTACTACTGAAACTTGGACCATGGCAATAAAAAGGGATTCATGTACAAATTTTCCATCATGAAATATCCCCATTACATCAGCAATTCAGCCCAGAAAATTTTACTTGAATAAATACCTATAGTACTGTCCTGTTCTGTACTGTACTGCATGAAAATAAAGTGCATCACTGTATTAGTTTTACAAGCTCATATATACGGTATACTGTTCTTCAGTAATAGTCTATACCAGTATTCTCCAACCCCTGGTCCATGGACCAAGCGCTGGACCTCAGAAGTTTTTTGCTGTTCTGCAGGAAATTTTGTTCAGTAAAATAAATTCATTAAAACTAGAAATGGATGTAATTATGTAATCATTTGTTACATTTATCTCAAATTTTGGAGAGACATATGCAGTTTAAATTACCTGATGAAAAATACAAGTTTGTTTCTCTCCTTATAACACTTCAGAAAAATGTTCACATGCTGAAATAAATTGCTGGCATTTTAATATTTCATTCCAAGAAACCTCTCTTCAAGTCCAACTTTCTAATGTTTTAAAGACATTTCATTATAGCTGCTTCATTGGTTCTCAATTAAAATTTTTGAAAGAAAGAGGCAAAAATGTAATTGTCTGCCGAAATGTAATATCCAGGCAAAACTCATGTGCGCCTGCAAACATTTTAGGAAGCTTTGACAGTCTGGAGAATTTTTTTTGGGAATTTGCTGGTCCTTAAAAAATTTTATGGAAATTTTTTTGGTCCACATGTCCAAAAAGGTTGGGGAACACCACTCCATACACAATATAAATATGGGTTGAGTGCACAGTGCTGTACTATGCACTGCATAAACACTGGAATATAATGAATAAATAGAAAATCTTTAAATAAAGCCAATTTCATGATTGAAAGTAGCAAAATTAATGTTGAAAGTTTAAACCATCTTGCCTTATATATATACCCATGAGTCATCACACGATTGGGTAAACTTTGAACTTGGTCTTCCCAAATTTTGAAATTTGAACAATATGTAATAATTAACTACATCAAGGTGTTGTTATCTCTTTACCATTGGGCCAATTTTTTGGGACAGAATTGACAGGAACCATGGGTGGTGGATTAATTTATAAGGGGCAGCTTAACAGGGTTTGACTGTATATAGAAAGGAAAGGTGCATGCATGAAATAAGATTAAATCTAAATTTAAGATGATGTACATATGCAAAATATTGAACGACTTAAATTCAAGCCAATGGATGCAAGAGTAAAAAGCAGAAATTACATTTTCAGATTAAATACATAGCATCAGACCAATTTCTGCAGCAGCAGTTATCCCATGCTCACGAAAAAGTTCTGTACCATTTGAGAAACAGTTTTCAAGTAACCATTGTTAAATTTCGGTGCATGCAAAAACCTGCTTTGTAATGATTACTTGACTGAAGAAAATCACAGAACATTTTACAATGCGTAAATGTGTTTATTCATCAACTCATTTCATTAACAAACCTTATTGCGCTTGTTTTCAGCAATCGGCTGTAGAAATCTGGTAAAAATACCTTTCTATAGAATAAAATGCCGCTCCGACGATTTCACGGTAATTCCGCGGGAGGGACGACCGCGCAAGGGCTGTTCACCGCAAAAAAGCCGCCGCCGAAAAGCCTACCGCAGATCTGTCTTCTGCGGATTTGGCATAAACCCCAATTCCATCAGCAGGGAATGGAACAGCAGGCGTAATAAGCTGGCATCCAGTGGCAAGCAAAATGCAGTACAGTATTGTACTTAACGTGATTTTTCGAAATTATTCATTACTTTCAGCTATGATCCAGCACACAATTTTTGATAAATGAATAGATGCTGTTCTTTCCCTTTATTCCCAGAAGATCGTAACTATCTCTTAGATTCCGTGTAAACGATGTCAGGAAACGGGCTCAGCACTCATTGCGAGCACATGATCTATACATCCAGAAAACATTGCCGCTCGCAAAGTTCAGGGAAGCACTGACCCGCGCCCAGGGAGAACAGTCGCGCTTTAGCCAACAATCCAGGTGTTCGCGAGAGTATTTCTTCTCGTTTCGTAGATTCGGAAAGGTTAATCGAAACGGTTGAAAGTGCCTTTAAGGACATCCTGCGCCACATCGAGCAAATATCTCTTGGCCCTTTCGCCTATGTGACTGCGCTGTATGGTTTCGTTGACTTCGCCCGTTAAACCTTCGCGAAACATCTTGCAATTTTGTTTTAAGCGCAACGTTTCGAATATCCGACGGATGGCTACTTCTGAATCCTTATCCCGCGTTGGAAGAAAGTTTCGGCGAAGAACGCTGAGTTGATCTTTGTTGGCTAGTTGCTTGGCCATCACAATAGGCCACGAAATGTAACCATTGTTCAACGCCGTCCCATTTTCCACAACCCGCAAGTCTTTTTCGATCTGCAGCAATACACCCATGTCGACCGCAGCCTTTTGAATCATTTTGTCGTACTCCTTCTCAGCCAGCAATAGACCACATCCTGCGCCAAAAATTATCAATCCTAGCTGAAGTTATGTCCGTAAGGATACAGTACTTGCATAATTTCCGTACCGATTGGTAATTCGAAAGCCGTATATTCGATTTTGGAAGTAACGGTGCTTTGATACTTGTTCATGTTGATGGAGTCGAAAGCTTCCTCGGGTGACTCTAATGCGCGCGAGCGTATTAAACGTGCCTGGAGCATTCCAATGGTGGTTCTTGTGGATGCATTTTGAAGTAATCGGACGATCTCTTCTTTCACTTTCGGTCGATTCTTAATGCTATTAGCGGTGAGTTGTTGAGCTGCGTGATTTAACAAAATTGCATCCAGCATGGCATTCCCGTTACTTTCTACATGATAGCTGGGTCTATTGTTCCTGACATCACGTCCATCTAGGACATCGTCGATTATAAAAAATGAAGACGTCACTAACTCACAGCAAAGTGCCAGTGTTCTCGCGACATGCATCGAAACTTCGTTGATCTTAAAGGAAAGCGCAATGAAGAGTTCGTGAAAATTTAAGTACTGCACCTATTCGGTTTTTAAGTTTTTTAACGAACCGTTTGTGGCGTACTTGCCGCTGCGAATGTTTCAATCAGTTTCATTCCACGATCGATGTGAACGAATGGAGTAACTGATGCAAAACATTCCCTCAGGTTTTGTTCTGTCTCCGGGAAGAACGCGCTATTCGCCGCGAGAATACTTTCGAACACGCGTGGCAAATCCTTTTCCAGCTTAGATCGTTCGTCGTCGTAATCAAAAACACTATGCTGAAACTGAGTTGACAATAAGCGGTGCGCTCCTTTCCAGAAAACCCGTGGAAGTTTTCTCATGCAAGCCATAGCTTAAATGATTAAACCGCTCTTGTGAAATTTAAATCTGATAGTCTTCTTTTAAACTGCGTGTCTTCAAGCGTTTCAACGTTTTTTTTTAGCAGGATTTCGGTTGTTCCGAAGATGATTCCAAGAGTGAGATTGGTTTGTGGGAGAGTTTTGCAACTTCACGGTCTTCGGAAGTTGTCTTCAGTGTCAAGAGTGTGGAGAGTCCCGACGCAAGTCGGTCAGGCTTTGTGTACGAGTGTGCGATGGTACTCTCAACCACCGCAGAAATCATCTGCTGCTCTTCCGGCGGAGCTGAAGACTCGAATTGATGACATGGTAACAAAAGGCAACAAGGTGGTTGTATTCATGAAAGGCGATGCCAACCAGCCGAAGTGCGGGTTCTCAAATGCTGTAATCCAGGTATTGCGCATGCATGGCGTCGAAAAGTTTGACACATATGACGTACTCTCCTCCGACGAATTGAGGCAAGGTATGTTGAATGAATTAGCTACTTCAGCGATCACCGTTTCCAAATTTCTTTTGTATTCAGGCTTCTCATTTTCTATAATACGCGTGAACTAATGCCTAATTAAATTACGATTATTCGCGTGTGCCAGTTTATTCTTCCGCTACGCGTAATCCTTTTACAACTTAGCTGTTGATAGTAGAACCAGTGATAAATTCACGGGGAGCTTACTTGTACGTCGGAAAGTACCGATTCCTTCGATGTGATCCAATTGACGACTGTGTCGCCTGATCGACCCGTTCCTGATCAATAAACTTGTTTAAACATCAGAACGCGTGTTCATCTTGTAATTAACACGCCATGTATTCCTCAGGTATCAAGGAGTATTCAGAATGGCCCACGGTACCTCAAGTTTTCATCGACGGCGAGTTCATTGGAGGCTGTGATATCATGCTGCAGATGCATCGGAGTGGTGACCTGATCGAGGCATTGAAGAAAGTCGGGATAGAATCGAAAATAGAGCGGGAATCGCCACCGGAGAATTAGGAACAGGAAACATTTTGAAATTATCAGCTCGAGTGATTTTTTTAGTTCGCCGGTAGCTAACGTTCGTAAATACACTGTGTTCGGTTTTCATTAACTACTGTACTTGAAACATGTTCACGATGTGAATGTCCCTTATCCCCGTTTTCAACAGAAGCCTGTGTATTGTATTGTTCTGTGAATTACGTTGCAAGAGTCGCGATGTATGATCAGGACGACGGTGAGTAGCTGTGCGTGCGAAGTTTCATAAATCGTCCGAACTATTTTTTTCGTTGTTTTGTTATTGCAGAGCCATTTCCTTACGATTCGCATCAGTTTTACGATGCCGATCAAGGAAGCGACGACATCACTTCAGAGCTATGGCAAGAAGCCTGCTGGATCGTCATCAACGCGTACTTCGATGAGAAAGGTCTTGTTCGACAGCAACTAGATTCGTTTGACGAGTTCATTCAGATGTCGGTTCAAAGAATCGTGGAAGATTCGCCGCAAATTGATCTCGTTGCTGAAGCCCAACATTTTTCTGGAGAAATCGAAAATCCGGTGAGTGGAATCACGGGAAATCGCTGCTATACTTACGTTACGCATGAATTTCTTTCGTATTTTTAATCATGTAGAAAATGTGAACGTGTCCTCTGCCCGTGTGCTGAATTTTCATTTTGAGGGCTGATCCAATTACATTGACCCGTTCGATGGTTAGATGTCTTATCAATTCACCGAAGAAATTTCCACCTTTGCAGACAGGTTTTAAGTGTGATCTGTACATTCTACTGAAGCCTGACGATTGAAATTGCGAATGTTAGAAAGTAGCATGGTTCTATAATCAATGCATTGTGCTGCGTGTCGGGTTGATTTATCTTGAAAAGGATAGGATCATTTGCTATTGATGAATTTTATTTAAGCGGCAGTTGATGACTTCTCCTGACCTGATATTCGTTCAATGATGGTTTTCCAATTTTATGTTCGCAGCCCCATTACTTATTGAAGTTCGAGCAGATTTACTTATCCAAGCCCATTCATTGGGAAAACGATGGCGCTCCCGGACCCATGATGCCCAACGTGGCCCGTCTGCGAAATCTCACCTATGCTGCCCCTCTTTATGTTGACATCACGAAGCAAGTGGTTGTCGATGGAGAGGAGCCTCGTGAAACCAAACATAACAAAACGTTCATTGGAAAAATCCCCATCATGTTGCGCTCCACGTATTGCCTCTTGAACGGATTAACTGATCGTGATTTGACGGAATTGTGCGAGTGTCCTCTTGATCCTGGTGGTTACTTCATAATCAACGGATCCGAGAAAGTGTTGATAGCCCAAGAAAAGATGGCAACGAACACTGTCTACGTGTTTTCGATGAAAGATTCAAAGTATGCTTTCAAGACAGAAATTCGCTCGTGCGTGGAGAATTCGTCTCGTCCGACTTCTACTTTGTGGGTCAATATGATGGCTCGCGGTGGACAGGTTTGTTTTACCTTTCTGCTTTTGTTCATATTTTCACAATGTACAGTATTATTTTTTGTTCTTTGTTCATGGGGTATGCGAGGATTGCTGGTCGCTGCATTAGAAATAAGCACGAATTTATTATTAAAACCGTTTTTAAGGAATTTAGAAGCCAGAAAAGGGCAAGATTCTTCATACAGTGACTCAGTTGGGATATATTTGCGGAAGTCTTGCGGGTGTGAGGAAGCAATTGACTTTTTAACGTGACTTGTTAGGAAGTTTTTCGGCTTCATTATGTGATCCCGAAAAAATACCGAGTATGAATTCCAAACATTTGCGTTATCACGGAGCGTGATCATATCTCCATTGAAAGGAATTAATTTTTCAAACTCCTGAATGTTGAAGCGTGCATCAGTGTCCTTCTTTGACGATGAATGCTTTTTTTAGGCGGTGAAGAAAAGTGCCATTGGTCAACGTATCATAGCAATTTTGCCGTACGTGAAACAGGAGATCCCAATTATGATTGTCTTCCGTGCTTTGGGTTTTGTGGCTGACAGAGACATTCTGGAACACATCATCTACGATTTCGATGATCCGGAGATGATGGAAATGGTTTGTACATGTGATTTTAAACTTGATTTCGTCAGGAAAACTAAACGTCCTCGAATTTCGCAGGTTAAGCCGTCATTGGATGAAGCTTTCGTTGTACAAGAGCAAAATGTTGCTCTAAATTTCATCGGCGCCAGAGGTGCACGACCTGGTGTTACGAAAGAAAAGCGTATCAAGTACGCCAGAGAAATTTTACAGAAAGAAATGCTTCCCCACGTCGGTGTCTCAGATTTTTGTGAAACCAAGAAAGCCTATTTCTTGGGCTATATGGTACATCGGTTGCTGCTGGCCGCTTTGGGAAGAAGAGAACTCGATGATCGAGATCATTACGGAAACAAGCGGCTTGATCTCGCGGGGCCGTTGCTGGCATTTCTCTTCCGAGCACTGTTCAAGAACTTGATTAAAGAAGTTCGCATGTATGCCCAGAAATTCATAGACAAAGGTACTATTTTTCGTCTTTCCGTAATTTTGATGATTTAGTACTCCTTGAACGCCGGAAATCCACCTTCTATTTGCTTTCGTAAGAACGTATGCCGTATTCCTCGCATTTGCACGAGTTCCGAAGCGATAATTACCGAGCGGAGTTGATTGTTGCCGAATTTTGATATTGTACTGTTTAGCTATATCAGCCTATCTTTGTTCGACAGCTCCAAATCGCAGAATTTTTATGTAGAACATTCGATTAGATGTACAGCTCGTGGATTTCCGGGAGTGGTAATTTGCGGCACTAGTATTCGCTCGAACGTTTTTTGTTGAAACGTAGGTTTCTAATGAAGTTCCCGGTCAAACTGCCCATTTTCGACGAAAGTATTTCTGAAAATTCTCTTTACTAGTTTACAGCATTCCGTTCGATCCATCGTGTAGCAATTTTCTGGGCATTTCGTTTGCTTGGTGCTCCAGAGTTCTTAGAGTAATGTTCTGTAATTTTTGTTGCGATATTACCCTTGGGTAGTCGGTGAAATGTTTTCTTACGATTTTCTGCGCTGAGGGAATCCGTATTGTTTTCTTCGCCCTCAAAAATCACCTGCAGGAAATAGCTTGTGAAGAGGATGGCGCATCTAAAGAATTGGCGGAAACATTCAACTCGAGAAGCAGCTTATAACCTTTTCCAATAAAAAGTCTCATTATTTTAAACTTCCAGGGAAGGATTTTAACCTCGAATTGGCGATCAAGACCAGGATTCTCACCGATGGTCTCCGGTATTCTCTGGCTACTGGGAACTGGGGCGACCAAAAGAAAGCCCATCAGGCTCGGGCCGGTGTTTCTCAGGTGTTGAATCGTCTAACTTTTGCCTCGACTTTGTCCCATTTGCGTCGTGTCAATTCTCCTATCGGACGTGACGGAAAACTAGCCAAACCCCGACAGTTGCACAACACTTTATGGGGTATGATATGTCCTGCGGAAACACCGGAAGGTGCCGCTGTCGGTAAGTTCTGCTGCTTCAGATTCCGTTGGCGATGGATTGTATATCGTCGGTTTATTTCTAGGCTTGGTGAAGAATTTAGCTTTAATGGCTTATATTTCTGTCGGGAGTCAGCCGTCTCCGATTCTTGAATTTTTGGAGGAATGGAGTATGGAGAATCTGGAGGAAATCGCGCCTTCTGCTATTGCAGAGTGAGTTCGAATTTTCCTAATCAAGTGTCGCGGGGATTTCGACATATACATGGGCTAAATCTATTGATTTTCCGTGGAGCATTACAGACTTCTTGTTATGACAAGACCTGACGAAAGCGAGTGAATTGTAAGGTCCACATAGGCAGGAATAAGGTAGTCTAGAGAATCAGTTCCAGATTTCGTAAAATTTCAGTACACCCGGACATGAGTTTTCAGTCACATATTCAGATAAACAATGCTGCATATATCCTCGTGGGCATATAGCTGACGTGAACTGAACCGAAGCTAACATGATCTGTGCTGAATTACAGTAACCTGATCTCGAACCTAACCTTTTCAGACTAATTTGTAGTACCCTGTGCGAAAAAAAAAGTAGTTTTCGTCACCACACGTTGAATCGTTCATCAATTCAATAGGGCTACGAAAATCTTTGTGAACGGAACGTGGGTGGGTATCCATCGCGACCCAGAGCAGTTGATGTCCACTTTGAGGAAACTTCGGAGAACCATGGACGTCGTTGTGTCGGAAGTGTCAATGGTCCGCGATATCCGAGACCGAGAAATTAGGATTTACACAGATGCGGGTCGGATCTGTCGACCTTTGTTGATCGTCGAGAATGCGAAACTGTTGCTGAAGAAGAAGCACATAGACTCGTTGAAAGAGCGGGAGTACAACAATTTCAGTTGGCAAGACTTGGTTGCTGCTAGTGTCGTTGAGTACATAGACACGTTGGAGGAAGAGGTATGTTACTGAGTGCAGACATTTTTGACAATGTTGCTAGCGCAAAAGATGAAGTGAAAAGTATGGTAAATGAAAGTTCGTGTGAGTTAAATGAAAGTTCGTGTGAGTTAAATGAAAGTTCCTGTGAGTTTTCTGTACTCAGAAATAATCTTCAGAGTGGTTTAGAGACAAGAAATAAAATGTCCACAATAAAACTTTTTTCAACATTAGGAAAAATTCTTGGCTCAATGGTGGTTTTGCCTGTGAAATCTTGGAAGCTTTCTCACCCGATCCTGTTTTTACTGTTTCTGTTTTCGGCAAGCGCCGTTTTGGGACGCGCTTAATTGTTCAGTATCGATTTTTTTACGTTTCTTGTGCATCATTTAATGCTCATGCTTGTTAATCGTGTCTAGACTGCCATGATTGCGATGAACCCTGACGACGTTCGACATCAGGAGAACGAGGACTACTGTTCCACCTACACGCATTGTGAAATTCATCCCGCGATGATACTCGGTGTGTGTGCGTCCATCATTCCGTTCCCGGATCACAATCAAAGTCCCCGTAATACGTATCAGTCTGCTATGGGGAAGCAAGCTATGGGAGTTTACATTACGAATTTCCACGTACGGATGGACACCTTGGCGCACGTGTTGTTCTATCCCCAGAAGCCTCTCGTCACAACTCGATCCATGGAATATTTGAGGCAAGTATTTTTATTGTTTTGAATGAACATTGAGGTGGATTTTCCGTGATGACTATGCTCGAAGTCTTTTTCAGCCGCCCTTGGTCAATTTTGCTTCTTCAAATTCAGATTCGCTACAGCTCGAGGTTCTAAGCGTTCATTTCTCAGATGTTCGCCACGGAAATCTGGAAGTCCCGAAATCTTTTTTCCCGTCAAAGTGCTTTTGAAAGTTGTGGGTTGCGTTTTTAATTACGATTGAATAACTTTGTGATTCATGTACACGTCAGTCAGCTTTTGTGAAATTAAGTAGCATTTCGTTGAAATTTTCTTCTGACTCCAATATCTGAAAGCGCGTTTATGAATGACCGATTGGTTTTCTCTGAATTATCAACCTATACAAATTAATTACTGTATTCTAAAATGAACTGAACGAACAACTGATGCGAAATCACCTGTAAGAAGGGAGAATTATCTTGTGTAGTGTAATTCAGTTTTCACGAAAAAAAGACCTACGCGAACGCATATAGAATCATCCGAATCGGAAACGACAAGCGTTATAAAAAAATCATCGTATTTGCGCGTTCATTTAACTTTTCGACATTTTATTTTTCATGGGAATCTGCTACATTATTTTGAAAGGTTTCGCTTTTTTAGTGTAGCGTTTTTGTTTCAAGTGGTACATCATATGACGAATTTGCGTTTCTCAAAACAATAAACAAATGTCAACAGGGCAGCAGTGGTTCTATTGGCATGGAAATCCTGATTTTGTCGTTCGTGACTGTAATTCCGGTGTTCTTTGTTCAGTTTTCTCGTATTTTTTCTCATTAATCGTGCTTCTTTATATAATTTATGTATCAAGGTTAAATTAAAGCTGGTATGCTTGGCAATGCATTGCAGGAAAGAAAATAACTGTTTTTTTTTTGCGTTGGGAACGCATTTTTTTCCTATCCCCGAATTCTTTTTTAATTTTGCAACTCATGCCATACTTCTTGAAATTAATTGTTTTCTGAATGAGGTGGCCCTGTATATTTTCGAAACGGAAATTCTACGCTATGGAAGGGGGAAATATTGTGGTACTTCTAAATTCACGCACTGCTGACTTTGAAAGCAGTACAGTACTTGCTTGTCTTGTACGTGGTCACGTTAATCATGCGAGTACTTCGTTATTTCCACGTTACAGATTTCGTGAGCTTCCTGCTGGCATCAATTCGATTGTCGCCATTGCCTGCTACACGGGATACAACCAGGAAGATTCTGTCATTCTGAACGCTTCTGCTGTGGACAGAGGCTTTTTCCGGTCCATCTTCTTCCGTTCGTATCGTGACTCGGAAATGAAGCGTATCGGCGACCAAGAGGAGCAGTTTGAAAAGCCCACGAGAGACATTGTGCAGGGAATGAGAAACGCGTTGTATGACAAGCTAGAAAGCGATGGAATTATTGCGCCTGGCATTCGTGTTTCTGGTGACGACGTCATTATCGGCAAGACCATCACACTTCCTGAGAACGAGGACGAGGTTGGTGTTTAGTTGAATAAATCTTTCGGCAGTACCGTTGAGCTGGAATGATTCGCTCCCATTTTCTTCCAGTTGGATAGTGGGGCGAAGAAGTTTGTGAAGCGAGACGCAAGTACGTTTCTGCGAGCCAGTGAATCCGGAGTCATTGACCAGGTGAGGTAAAAGGAACGATCGATCAGCCGACAGTTGTTATCTAATGATTTTTTCTTTCTTCGATTTAGGTCATGCTGACCATCAACAATGATGGCTATAAATTCTGCAAGATCCGTGTGCGGTCTGTGCGAATCCCCCAAATCGGGGACAAGTTCGCGTCTCGCCACGGTCAAAAAGGAACCTGTGGAATAACCTACAGACAGGAGGTTCGTCAAGACGGAAATGTGAAATCTCGTGAAGTTTAAAACCATTTTGAATTTTAGGACATGCCGTTCACTCGGGAAGGATTGTCGCCGGACATCATTATCAACCCTCACGCTATTCCATCTCGAATGACAATTGGTCACTTGATCGAGTGTCTCCAAGGGAAAGTGTCTGCGAACAAGGGAGAAATTGGTGACGCTACGCCTTTCAACGATGCCGTGAACGTGCAGAAAATTTCGAATCTGCTCTTTGATTACGGCTATCAACAGCGTGGTAACGAGGTGCGGTTTGCTTTTTCAAAGAAACTTCCAGACTCTTCCCAGACTATCTGGAATTTTCCGCTATTTCTCTTGTTTCTGTAAAAATTAATAGTCGACTATTTGCGTAAAAAACACAAACTCTTCTTCCTATTCTGACCCAAAAATGAAACGCATCTTACAAAACTAAGTGTGAAGGAAGATTTGAAATTACTGTAATGCTGAAAACTTACCATTCTAAGTGCACAGGTAAATGAGGATATTAATCATCGCTTTTGTAAAAGTATCTAGATAATCATTATATTCCTTGCGCGGTTGATTTCTTTCGAGAAAAGTGATGTTTTACGGATTCAGTAATTACGGTGATGCAATTTTTCGTAATTGCGGAGATGTATCCTTTGTCATTACAAATTCGACACAATTTTCCGTCCCCTTACGAGAGACGCACATGTAAAGCAAGTGTCTTGTATATTTACGAGGTCTTCTTTCAAGATCAAGGTGCAGAAATTTTGAGAGGAGCCATATAATCGTTGTCATCTTATTTATAGGAATACCCGTATTTCAAATATTGTACATAAATACTTCTTTGCGGCTATTCAAGAGGTTCTCCTCGAATTTTTGCGTGAATTTTAATTTATCTACTTCGTATACTCATTGTGTACTGTACTTCACAGGTTTAAAGGATCTTCGACATTTTTATTTTTCCTTGATTAATTTTTCGCATGATATCATCAGGTCTTGTACAACGGTTTCACTGGGCGCAAGCTCAACGCTCAGGTTTTCTTGGGTCCTACGTATTACCAGAGATTGAAGCATATGGTGGATGACAAAATTCATTCCCGTGCTCGTGGGCCGGTCCAGATTTTAGTGCGGCAGCCCATGGAAGGTCGTGCCAGGTGATTTCCTTTTGGTGTTATTTAAAATAAGAAAATGATGGTAACGTGTGAAGTGCTTGTGCGTTTTCAGGGATGGAGGGTTGCGGTTTGGCGAAATGGAGAGAGATTGTCAGATAGCTCACGGAGCTGCGCAGTTCTTGCGTGAGAGGCTTTTCGAAGTCAGTGATCCATATCGTGTGCACATTTGCAACTTTTGCGGATTGATCGCAATTGCAAACTTGCGGAACAACACGTTCGAGTGCAAGGGTTGCAAAAATAAGACCCAGGTAAGATCTCCGAATTTTATCTTAGGTTATCTCGATCGAAGCTTATTGTGATCTTGAGAAAACGGACCATTTCGTGCTTTGATTCGGTGAATCTATTTTTTCACCGCAGATTTCTCAGATCAGGCTACCATATGCCTGTAAGCTGTTGTTCCAAGAACTCATGAGCATGCTGATCGCCCCTCGAATTATGGTTGATTGAAGCCGATGACGACTGGTCTGATGGGCAGTGTGGCTCTTGCTTGGATGGTGTAATTTTTATTTTTTCCCCTGGAGTTCGGATTTCGGTATCCAGATGTTGTGCAGACTGTTTTGACGAAGTTGAATAACAAAAAAGAGACGTTTCGTCGATTTTGAATTTTCCGACATGTTCGGAGTACAGTTTTTGATTTGAGTAGCTGATCCAACATTTCTTACATCAGTGTTCCACAGTCACCTGAAGTAACTGTGCTACAGCCACAATTGAACTTCTTGCTCGGTGTCAGTATCTCACCGAAACTCGGCTGTTTCGTCAATACAAGTTTTACTAACGAATTAAAATTGTGAAGATTTGGATGACATTGGTGAGAGGTTGCGGATGATGAAATGCTCAGTTCCTATGCCTAATGTAAGTTTGGTTCGTGATTAGCGCCCAGGATGCGTTAGACGGGCAAATATGATTTTTAGCTCACGTTGGAATTACGAAATCCTCATTTCTAGGATGAACTCAAGTTTCACTCGCACATTCAATGAACTACTGTAATGGAGTTGAGTTACTGTTAACCCCCACCGTCTCTATCCTCAGGTGTGCCTCTGTACTCCACTCTACGAAAATTTAATTTTATGTAGTACCAATCTATTTTCGACCAGAGCTGGCATGTACTTGGGTGTCCATGTCGTTTACCAAACACATTAGCTACATCCTCGCACAATTTGAAATTACGGCAATAAAGGTAGACATTCATTCATAAAAAAATACACGTCCACTTCAAATCACAAGGTCCATGAAATGAGGAAAGCACTACAATGCACTTTCAAGGTAACATTTCAGTCAAGATAGCCTTTGCCTCTGAAGTCAATGTTGAAGGAAATTTAATGTCAAAAGAAACGACGAGATCTCCCTTCCTCATAGGGTCTTTTGAATGAGGCAATCCATAGCCATTCAGCCTTTGCACAGTCTCCGGCGTAACCACTTGGTCCTTCAGATTGATTGCCACCTGCTTGCCCTCCAGAGTCGGAACCACAACTCGACATCCGCACAACGCTTCTTTCAGAGTGATAGCAGCTTTGTACTTAATATCAGCACCATCTCTCGTAAATAATGGGTGTGGTTTATCCCGGACGATGAAGGTGATGTCTGCAGGGTCATTTCCATAGGTCTGATCACCCTCCTTCGCAAAGGTCACTCGGGTGCCAGCTTTCCAGCCAGGCTTCACGTGGATAACGAGGACATTATCTTCCTTGATACCCTGACCATCCAGTCGAATCCGTGTTCTGGTGATTTTCATCTTCTTTGTGCAGCCTGTAGCAATGCTTTCCAGGGGAATTTCAAGCTCATGTTCAGAACTCTTGGGCGGAGCTGCAGCAGAACGCTTCGCCATCTTTGGCCTTCCCCCGCCACCAAGCATTGAAAAGATGTCGTCATCCACATCCATGGCATTACTCTGATACGGCATACCATTCACGAACACCCGTTGACCACTTCCTCCACCACCACCAACATTGAAAAACGCCTCAAAAGGATTTGACGACCCGAAGCATTGCGCAAAAGTTTCGCGTGGATCACGGGAATGGTAGTGGAATCCACCACCAGGCATTCCTCCTCCACTTTCGCCACCCATGCCGTTCTTCAATCCGTCTTCCCCGTACTGATCGTAGATTTCTCTCTTCCTCTTATCACTCAGCACCTGCTCACGGATTAGCTCTGGTTAATTCAACATTCACAGACATCACACAGCTCGTAAATTCAAACATGCAACACATTACGTACTTCATAAGCTTCAGAAACCTCCTTGAACTTCTCCTCAGCTCCAGGCGACTTATTCTTGTCAGGGTGATACTTCAAAGCGAGTTTCCGGTACGCCTTCTTCATTTCGTCGTCCGAAGCTGACCGTGAGACGCCCAAAATATCGTAATAGTTCTTCCCCATATTGCGTGCACGTTTGGACATGTAACTTCCAGTTACTTTACAAAAACATAAATTTCTTCTGCAACAGGAACGATCTGTTCACAAATATCTCGTCACAATTTCCGATTCTTTCTCGTACCGTAGCCCGTCTCTGTCTGAGCACGGGCACGAGGAAACTGGTGCCCAGTATTATACCGATAGACTGAAGAACGCGGGAGAATGATCTGGAACATTCTCTCCCCAACTCCAAGTTTCGAGGGAACACCTGTCCTTCTATTCCCGGTCTCGCTGGAAACTCGCGGAGCATGACATTTAGCGTCCTCTCCTGCGCAACTGAGGTACTAAGTGATCCCGCGTTCTGTGATTCGAAACATTTCTCTACAAGACACAAATGCCCGTGTCCCGTAGTGGGTACTCGAAGTGTTGAAGCTGTGTGGCCCAATTCCCTCGAAATCTTGACGTCGTGTGTGATGGAAAGCTTTCCGTTTTACAGTATCGAAATCGCTGACTGACGTACAGTTTTTTTCGGTTTGTTGCAGGAAATTACTTGCTGAGTGAAGTTCGTCGTCAACAGCTTTGAAAAGATGGTGAGTGTCAGAAACTTTCGGCCGCGTTTCCGTCGGAGCCTATTTTGTCCTTGTATATCTGTTCTGTTCGGGTTTCTTTTTGAAAGGTTACTTTCGCCTTTTGGAGGAACCTTTTCGGTTAAAGTTGTATTAAAATAGCTCGCCCCCCTATTTCTCCTGCCTTAATCGGGATTCGTAAATTCCCCAGGCCCGCAGGTACGATACACGGACGACAATTTTTTCTCCTGAAGGGCGTTTGTATCAAGTAGAATATGCCATGGAAGCCATTGGACATGCCGGAACCTCACTGGGTATTTTGGCTTCGGATGGCATCGTGCTTGCTGCGGAAAGACGCAATACGAACAAGCTTCTGGATGAAGTTTTTATCTCCGAGAAGATATATCGTCTCAATAAGTAATCATTTTTGCTTCCTCTGTATTGATGAGCCATCACATTTGATTCTCTTTGAAGGGACATGGCATGTAGTGTTGCCGGTATCACATCGGACGCCAATGTTCTCATAAATGAGCTTCGTATGATTGCACAGCGTCATCTTTTATCGTATGGTGAATCAATTCCCTGTGAGCAGTTGGTCACTTGGTTGTGCGATATCAAGCAAGCGTATACCCAGTTCGGAGGTATGATCGATGAATTCTGACTGCCATGGAAACTTTCTGAAGGCAATTGTATCACCTCAGGGAAACGTCCGTTTGGTGTCTCAATTCTGTACATGGGCTGGGATCAACATTATGGTTTCCAATTGTATCAGTCAGATCCCAGCGGAAATTATGGTGGTTGGAAAGCTACTTGCATTGGAAATAATGCACCGGTGAGTCTGTTTTAATACTTGAATAGATATCTCGGAGTCGAGGTAAATTATATGAAAAAATAATACTGGGATGATGATATTCCGGAAAGTTGAAAAGTGTTGCTTGCAAGAAAAGGGTTTCTTTCGGAGTAGATCTTGATTTTTGTCTGTTGCATATGCTTCGCTTTGTTTTGTTCTCTGAACAAGTGTCAGAACTGTCGTGGTAGATGTCGATTATGTAAATTTAGTTTGAAGTATTGTACTTGTGTTCATGCAATCATGCGGAATGCAGGTAGAGTATCTCTGAAACGTTTTCTCTGCATAACGATTTTTTTTGTCCCGTAGTGGTTCTCCACCATTTCGTTACGGGTTCTCTACGACAAATTCTTATCTGAATTTCGTTGTTAGGAGAGTTCATCTGTATTCAAAATTTTTGAAGCATTCATAATTTCATATCCAATGCGTTCGATATTTGTTGGCGGTACAATTTCCGTGTTTCCCTAAACGTCAACAACGCAAAATTCTCTATGCAATTGCCATGCACAATTTTTTTTCGATTTCTTCGTTTTACAGGATCCGGCTGTTTTGATTTTTGATTCTTCTCAAGCTTCTTACATGTCCTAGGGTTTGGAAATTCAATACTGTACTATACAGTACTGTAGACGAAACTTTTTCGCATCCGGCAAGCTGCAGAATAAATATACAGTACATCGTAAATTTGAATTCTCTTGAATAGGAGAATCAAACGGATTGGAAATTTCACCGTCCGGATAATTGAATGCCTTGATAAATTCGCACTTGTGATGTAATTACCGTACTTCATTCAGAATTCATCCTCATTGAACGGAAAGCCTTGATATTGAACGCTAATGATATTTAGCGTGAGTATATAAATAGTTGGGATTTTGACCATTCTCCCGAGAAATTCTTTCAGTTTTGCCTTTTTCGTCTTTCTTATTTTTTTGTTTCCTTCACGCCCAGCAATATTTCTTGTGACGGGAAAATGTGTACTGTACTAACTTTTACTCGCACAAAAAAATTATCTTTCTTTTAACCTCAGATTAAATTATTTTAAGCTCGTCTTATTTGCCGCTCGTGAATGTGGTTTATTCCATTCAAGTGCATGCTCTTCCTGTCGCGATTGTCCCAAAATGTGGTTAGCTTTTATGACGGGGTTTTCGGTGGTTATTATTTTTTTTTTTGGTGCGTGAAAGGATTTAATGACAAACTCATGTCTGCATATAAATTAATCATTTTCCAAGGCGGCAATTTCTATGCTGAAGCAAGACTACCAAGATGGAAAAACCACGATGAAAGACGCTCTCGCTTTAGCCATGAAAGTTCTGTCCAAAACTTTGGATTTGACGAAGCTCACACCGGAGAAAAGTGCGTTCAGCTTTTTGGGATCGTGAATTTCGCATTAAAGCAAAAATGTCCCGCTATTCCAGTTGAGCTTGCCGTTTTAACCCGCGAGAAGGATGAAACAAGTATCCGAATCCTTGGTTCCAAAGAAGTTGAAGAACTGATCAAGCAGCATGAAAAAGCCGAAGCCGATGCCGAACGAGAGAAAAAGGAAGAGAAAGAAAAGCAAAAGTGATCCTTTTATTTTGTTTTCTCATCATCGCGTGTCCGTCTTTGATTACTTACTCGGTTCTCTCCCTCCGCGCTGTGCTGTTTCCTTCTTTTTTGAAATAAAGGATAGGCGGTGATTCAAAGTAAAGGCATCGTAATATTTTTGACCGCGTCTTATTCACGAGTAACGACAACATTATAACAAATCACCAGGGCAATGTGAGCATTTTGAACTTTGCAAATGAAGTCGAATCATTTGCTGACGTCCGCCAGCACGTCGCTCAGGAAAGAGAACACCACTGTTCTGATGAACGCACTTCTGAACCAGGGGAACGAGTTTGGGCAGTATGCAGCTGGCACCTCGTCGCACAGCTGCCTCAGCTCCTGAAATTGAAATGGGAGATGCATGCATAGGTTTCAAAGTGGGAGCAATTTACGAGGAAGAAACCGAGAAAGCTATGGGTTCCGACGTCCACCGAATAGGAAACGCATCTCCCGGAAATCTGAAGCTCAGTGAGTACGCTTGTCCACGAAAAATTATCTATTTTGTGTGGACTGGAAAGAGTTAATCTTTCTCCGATTCAGCAGAACTAACTGTTCAAGAAAAAGTTCCAATAAATCCTGTTTAATTTATCGTACTACCGAACAGTGTCAAGATTAATAAATTTAAATTCCCCCGTATGCATTTAAATAAAATAAACCGTGAAAGAAGTTGTCGAATACTGTAATTTCGTCTGAGAGTTCGAGGCGTCAGGCGTTTGTGCAAAGCGTGCGCCGGTTATGCGTGGCGTCCCTCGTGCATTTTAGAGAAGTTAGCTGGTTTCCTTGTTTTTCAACACAATATTCATTCATCACGGAGATTTTACGATTGCTTATTGACGATCGGAGGCTCTTCTTTTCTCTTCAAAATTTAAAATAGTGAATTCTGAATCTTCTTCTGAAACAATTGAGGTTGAATGAAAGGTGTCGCTGAAGGCTGTTCGGATTCAATTTTCCAACAGTTTTTGTATTGAAACTCTCCAGGGAACTGCAACTCTGAAATCTCGCAAGGACGGAAAAGTTACGGGTGATGCACTGGTGTCCGGATTTTTGTCTGCATTCCAACATCCCTACATCAAATTAAGGTTGGTGGAAGATTTCTCTTTTATTGTGGAAGATGGGGAATTATATGATCATTCAATCTCGCGTATTTTTGTCCGGGAATATTTCGCGAAAAGAATCGAGCTGCTCGTAGGAATCAGAAACTACGCGCATTGTTTCTTGAGCGTTTTAGCTCTTGACGAAAGTGGGATGTGTTTATCAAAATATTATAGTTCAGAGGATATGGTACAGTAGTTCAAATTAACTTCTCATTTTACTCTTCGATCCGAACGAATTTTATGTAATATATTGTCAAGTCAATGGCTTCACGTTTCCATTCTCCAGCTCTTTAGAAGCTTATTCGTTTTACAGTAAACCCGACGGAATACATCTCTTACATTCCAACAATTCCGGTTTGAAAAGCTTGCTTTTCTCTATTTCTTTCTGTCTTTTTTTAAATCGAGAGCTGCGAATTGCTCTATCCTGAATTTTTATTTCATCAGCCGAACTGATCCACCGAACAGCATTCATCGTCAGTATAAATTTGAAATCTCACTCGACGAAATTCCCTACAACACTCACGTCAGTTCTTATAGGAAGGTCATAAGATCTAATCCTTTCAAATGTCGAAAGATCTCCGTCCCAGTCGGAAGCTGGAACGTAGTAGAAATATCCGCGCGTTGCCACGTTTTGTGTTCCGTCGGGAGCGTCGATTGGCACTTCGTTCTGATCCGGCTCTGTGCCTCCGGCGTCGTAATCTTCGTCGTCGCCGAATCCAGTTTCAACTTCTTGTCTTTCCCGATATTCGCCCGTCTTCGATCGACTGAAGAGTCGCTTGAGCCAATTTCGAGGCTCTCTGGCAGGACGAGACGAGATTTTCGCGATGAGTAAGAGCAAAAGGCATAGGCTGACTGTTGCGCGCCTTTTGGGCACCATCTCCCTCGTTTTTTGTCACGTTCCTGCGGAGGGAAAAATGAAATTCTTGATCTGTATTCCATGGAATATACTTCGTAACTTTGTTTAAGGTTATCATTGGCCGAACACCTCGAATTTACGGAGAAATGCAGAATATCGCGCATATTTCCCTTCGGAATTGAACTTGATCAGAACGTGGCCTGTATGAACGCGGTGGATCGAAAAACAGCTGAAGTACTGTTTTAAAATGGAAATGCTGTATCTTTAAAAAAAATGGAGTTGATCTTTTTTTTCCACAGTTTGAGTGATGTACATGAAAGTACCTTGGAGTTGAATTTTGATTTTCCCGAATGCTCCAGAATCATGGTACAATATTTGAATTTCAAGCGGGGTTCATAAGTTGCAATGCCAATCAAAAATGAAGATGCAGGTGAATGAAAAATTATGTCTGAACTGAATGCTGATGAACTAGAGTTGAAATAAATGTCATAACTTCGTGTGCTACGCGACATCATCCAACTCTTGATAAAAGTCGGAACAATTTGAATGAATTTGCTGTAATTTGAGCGATGAATCGTTGAAGAATCCTTTTCAATTTTGGTTAACGATGAATCGTTCAAGAATTCTTTTCAAGATTCGGATTCAAGCTTGAAGTGTAGTATGCGCTCCTACGGGTTTCTTCTAGGTATAAAAAAAAACGACGGTGTACTTGCGTAAATTCTGCGTCACATTTTTTCACCGAAAAATGAACCTTTTGTGTGTGAAGTCGCTCTTTCAGTTTCTTCAATGATAAAAATAACTTTTTTTTTGTGCTATAAACTCAAAGGAACTCGAGACCCGATATCCTTTGGTTTGTTTTGCCTTATTTACAATGCATTAGTTATGATGAATTATGATAACCATGAACTAATTCGTGTGGGTTTGCGGGCGCGTGAATGCAGAACACCCCCGAATGACTGCCGATTGCCGAATTAGGTTGAATGCTGCTGCAAGTATAGATTCCTCAGATTAAGATTCCAGCCTGTGGCGAGTGGATTATTATTGATGATGGAAAACCTTACGGAAATAAATGTCCGACGGGACAATCCGGAACTCGCCGCACTATCACCTCAGGAAGGGAATCTGAAGACGGGCGTGGGTCGAGTAGTCGCCCTTGATGTACGCCGTGCGACGATTTAATCAAAGAACTTTATGCCGAAATTTGTAAAAGGAATCTGAAACGACTCATGCACATGTTCGAGGATCGTAGGTTTTTATAGCCTGGGCTTGGGTGGGCTACGCTCACTGAGGGGCTCGAGTTCTTCGCCGGGTTGCACTGCTGAAATATGCCACGGGAACGAGGGACGACTGATCCATCGAGTGACCAGCCGCCTCCTATTATTAGTCCGTGTTCCGGGGAGCCAACCCAGGCACCGACTTCTGTCCATGTGGCCCCTACTTTCTCTGTGCGGCGAGATGTCGGGATTCAGTTCACCAGGCAATCATTCTTATTAAATTGTTTTTTTAACGGTTATTTTAATATTAAACTATATCTAGGTAAAATATAAATTCTTCCACGTTGGATACAGTAATTAAATCTGGAATATAACCGATTGAACCTTGCTTTGAAGCCAAAATTTGTCCTGGCACATTTTGTGGCAATGTTCGAGGGTGGCACTGAATTGACGGTATTTTTTAGAGTAAGGTTCAGTTTTGGGTTTCTACTGTTAGCTTGTTCGCAGTATCGTTATGCCACTGTGGCCTCGTAGAGAGAAAGTTACAAGAAATGATTTTAAGCTCAAATCGTCGAGTGTACTGTTCATATACTGTATTTGAATTCAGTATATTATTAAATAAGACAGGACATGGAGTTGATCCTCGATAACTTGAACCTCTGCAAGTCGAAATACCTCCCTTTGTTGAAAATGTTTTCGAGTCCCTGTCTGAATTCGCTTAGCAGCAATGTATTAAAGATCTCTCTATAACTTTATGGCTTTACTATCAGAACCATTGTGCTTGTGTAAATGTTTGTCCATTAAGACTAACTTGACGCACATCCTGGAGGATTTTCTTGAACTTCGTTCAAGTATAATTCGATGTCAATGCGTTCGCTTTTTTTTAAGCAATCGACCGAGGCTTCAAAGCCTTTCCGTGGGTTGTGGGGCAACTGGAACTTGGTTGAACTCTCCGAGGATAAGATCTACAAGTACGTCCCAGTTTGCTGTGTACGTGTGAATCTAATCTTCCTAGTTCCTAACCTTTGACTAATTTCCTGGTATTGATGTGACTTGTAATCTAATAATCGTCAAGAATCTCTCCTTTTGATGATTGATCTGTTGTCTTGGTTGTATCATCTGTTACACATAAAGAAATGATTCCTTTTGCATTACTCCTCATCAATGTCATATAATTCAAGCAGGATTTGAGGGGTATCTTGAAAATACTGCACGTTTTTTCAAATTTTGAATACCGCGTTTTATCAAGATTGAGACTTATTGTATGATTCGGAGGAATTTACTCGGGTAACCCCGAAAAATTAGCCACTTCCTGAAGATAACCACTTGAAAGTTAATGATAAGAAATGCCCTTCCTCAACGCAGAAATAAATTCAGAATAAAATTCATTTCTACTCTCCTCTCGCTAGCTTTAATTCTTTTTTCAATGATGTGCCTGAAAGATTCTGCGAAAAATCAATTCCCATCGCAAAAATTAGCCGACACCCATCCCAAGCACCGTTTATGAATTCGCATTCTACTGTTTTCATCCGAATGACCATCATGATTTCCTATGCTGACTATTGATGAAGAAGACGAATCGAAATACTTTTTTTTTTGTAATGCGGTATTTTTCAACTTTTGAAAAGTAAAATTTTCCAATCATGTAAAAAAAAACACAAAACAGGGCGTGATGGTACGATTAGGGTTGGATCGGTAGGACGTGTCTTTGCCAGAGCGCCGAATGTCTTGGAAAAACCCCGAGCTGTGCCCAAGCCCAAGCGGATTGCTGAACCCTTGAAACCTGTGATTGACCCCTATTTCCGATTGTGTCCTTACGCTATGCTTGGGCAATGTCGATTCGGTGACAAGTGCGCTTATGTTCATGGAGTGCTTTGCGATTTGTGTGGGTTTTTCTGCCTGGACCCCAACAACCCGCAGCAGCGGGAATTTCATACGAATGTGAGCATGAATCGAGTGTTGCGCTGAAAAATTTTTTTTTCGAAAATTTCTGATTAGATTTTCCAGCCGAATTTTCTTCTGCAAAACTATCGGGGTGGATATCCGGTTCTTCATGTTTTGCTAACACCATGTGCTTGGAATTATTTCGAGAGGACATCGTGGATTTTGAAAATGACTTTTCAATCGCGATGCCTCCCGATGTACGTTCATTGTCAAGAGTCAAGTTCTGCTCCGAATCTCGGATTTCAAATCGAGTTCACGGTTTTCTATAGTGAAATGATTGTTATAGCGAAAAATGAGTTAGCGAGTTGTAAGTGATGATACAAATTATGTAGTCGGATTAAGTTCAAGTCTTGAGCGAAAGACGCCAACTAATTTCATTGAAGCACTTCCCGATTAAATCCGGACTTATACCCTCGCTACTTAATGCCTAAGTCTGAAGACGAACTTAAATTCTTTATTGCCAAAAAATAATGTAGATTGTGACGCATTTGGCAAATTCACAGGATTGTTGAATCCTCAACAATCCAAGTAGATTTTTTCAGAAGCTTGAAATTTTTTTTGCTCGTGGATGATCGTATTTTCTCTAAAAATTGAGAATGGGAATCTGGAGGAAAACATCAGAATTACTATTGTATAATTTGCCTCCGTCCATTTAATTTTCAAGATTGTGGATGTAGGCAAATCTTGGTGGAAAGATTTTAACTTTCTTTACGAAGGATGTCCGATTTTGCATATGCAGTAAAATTTTAAATAAAAAAAAAACAAGAGTTTTGCTGAGGGGCACTGAACATAATTTTAACCCTTTTCATGTCTTCCACTCATGCTTTCACCCGACCAGTTTCGGTAGCGTGAATAATGGAAGGGGAAAAGCCAGCTACCAATGCACGTTTCAGTTCCCAAAACCCCGATGCTTGACTTGAGATAGATTATATTTTACGATATTCGTGGGGGTCTCAATTTTTGTTGTTGTAAAAGTGGCTCAGAAAATCCAACTGATGTTTCTGTACGTTGCTCCGTTCAATTGTTGGTATGAAACATTCTCAGTGCAGCCAATTGTTAAGCATCGAACGTATTTTTTATTATACAGGTGAACCTCGATAACTCGAACGTCCCTAAGTCGAATACCCCCTAGGTCGATTTTTTTTTTTAGGTGCACATTTGAATCCCCTTAGAAACAATGCATAAGAACCTTACCAAAGTCGAAGGTTTTTCCCCTCAAACCTCCGTAAGTCGAATTTTCTGTGGCGTGTTGGCCATTATTTTCTTGACCCAAGAGAAAAAGCAATAAAAACAGAAACTGATGGTGTTTTAAAGGAAGTGAAAGTCTTAATTGGGCTAATGAATCTTTGCCTCCATGTTCAGCATCCTTTTAACTCATTTAAGAAGCCATTTAAGCCCTAGAATATCATCATTTACAATTTTGGGCAATTTTTCCAAGTTTCCCAGAACTAAAGGGCTTTTTATTGTAGCCTCTATAATTCAAAACCTGACGACCATGCTGCAGTAAAAGCCTAGGAATCTTGGTGTTGCAAACGGTTGAGCAACAGACGTTTTTTGTTAGGATATCATGCTGCATAAAAAGATTTTGACGTGCATCAAAGGAACTGAGAAATTCAGCTGTAGTGTAAGTCAGTAATGTAAAAATTTCTTAGACCTTAAAAATAGTTTTTTAAGGCTTTATCTCTTGTAAGGGGCACCATATAGCTCTTGTGTTGCACTATTTTCGAGGGAACCGGGTGATGCGCTGTAAGATTGAACTCTTTTTCGTTGACTCTATTCAAAATCGACGTTTTTTCAATTATTGTGGAAAATTGGATTGCGAGCGAAAATTGCATTCATCTTCCTTTTTGATCTTCATGAAAATATTCGTAGCTTTTCTGATGGTTTTCCATTTTAATCAAAAATTTTATTATAATCCAAGTCGCGTTTAACTCCAGGAATGCGAGCGTGTGCATGAGCAAGACATGAAACACTCGTTTCAACTCGCAAATTCGGCGGACAAAACTTGCGGAATATGTTACGACGTTGTGCTGAACAAAGAAGGGAACAAGAACGAACGCCGATTCGGAATACTCTCTTCCTGCACTCACGTTTTCTGCCTAACGTGCATTCGTCAATGGCGACGGCAGAACTCGTGTATCGTGAACCGATTGGTGAGACATGACCCACTTTTTTTTTATTTTTCGCCGTGGAAGAACTCGTGTTTTCGCGCCATTATTCATGGATGGTGAAGTACGTTGCAAAACGCGTAATTGCAGACTACGCGAACGTGCCCTGCTTGCAGAAAGCCGGCGGATTTCGTAATCCCGTCCAAGTTTTGGGTTGATGATCCGGTCGAGAAGGATGAAATGATCAAAGCGTACAAGCAGAATATGCAGTTGAGTCGTTCCCCCCCTTTTCCAACGTTTCTTCGCCTCGTAAAAATTGACAGCTTCCGAAAGAAACTCCCATGGTTTTTTTTTTTTTTGGGAACGATGACTTGTTTAATTTGTGAAAAGTTTCGGGACCTGGTCGCGAAGTCGGCTCAGCTTGTTGATACTGGAGGGGGCTTGTTCACTTCTTTATGATCAGTTCTGTATCTTGGAATTGAGTTCTTCGAATTTTATTTCCATGTTTTCTCGACTAGAACGCAGACATTTTTAAAAATTTTGATATGAATAAAATATGGTGTGTTTTACGTGAATCACGTAGGGAGCATTTTCGAATCGAGAACATTCCAAATCTCAAGTAAAATGTAAAAAATTCTAAACGAAAATGTCGACATTTGTCTAAATGCCTTACTAAGCGGTAATCTTGAAGCTCCATAATATTGAATTTCCTGTCAAAATTAATCTCAAAATGTAACTTTAAACAAATTTGGTTAGTCTTATATTGGATTAACTGACTTCTGTGATACCCGAATATATGAATACGGTTTTCAAATGTTTTCAGGAAGAAGCATTGCAAATATTTTGCGCGTGGGTCAAAGCCGTGCCCTTTTGGCAATAAATGCTTTTACAAACATGAGCTTCGGGATGGAAC